TATTTTTATGGCTCCCAAAATAATAAGCAGTTGTCTTCATCCTTTTTTTAGTATTTCAAGAGTAAATTATAATTACACACATAAAACATTAGGTTACACGGTTTCTCTATGATTGCTTCTTTAATATTGCAGTTACTTTTACAGTTAACTAGTTTTCTTGGCATCTAATATATTCCGGTCCTTTTTGTGTAGGCTGTTCCTGTTCCATCATCCAAAGCAGCTGTTCTTAAAGACATTTTTACTTTGGCAGCTGAAAAGTTGGGTTTTGAATTTGTTACCAAAAAATGTAAGCTATATTACATTTGAACAAGTTTGGTGCATATATGTTGATAACATTGCCTTCAAAATATGGATTTTTATGCAAGACTGGTCTGTCCCTAAGGGATACTGAATATAGTTTCAGTTCTAATCCTCAAATTCATCCCCCCACTCCCTTTACGTTCCTCTGAATCTTTATGCTCATGTTTCTTATGCAGTCAACAATAATTCCGAGGGCAGAAAATGGTTGCGGACACAATTTGATAAGAATGTTAGCTGCTTCTATGTGGAGCTCCCTGATGGTTCAATCCTATTACATTTGGTTGAAGAGAATGAGAAGTTTCCTGCCCAATTTGGACGTGAGGTAAAATTCTTAATTTCTCTTTTGAACGTGGTGGTGGTGCTGCTGCCTATTTGTACCTGGGCACGGAGCCTGCTTACTAAATTGAAACCTGAGTAAAAGAATTCTGCATTTCATTGCTGAACAAGATGCTTCGAATTCTTTCCTTATTTCAATTTCATAAATGACTGGCATAGCTTCTTATGAAATATGTCAACTGTAACATGGAATTAAAGAAAAAAAGTAATTATGAGAAGTTTTCTGTTGTTATTTTGGAAAAAGGAAAAATCATTTTTGTTCATATAGCTTCTTCAGTGACATTCATTTAGGAAATGGGTATCTTCGAAGTCGCACCATAGGCTTAACATTGTTTTCCAGAAAGGTATTTTAGGGTCCTGTTGAGGAATAAGCAGTCACTCTTGAGCAGAATCTTGTGTTATGAATATTCAAGTTACTCGAGACTTGTTCATATAAGTGTGAAGGGTAGTAATAATGAAGTCAGTGAACATAGTTTAATATCCATAGCTAATGCTTATGGGGTGATCTCTAGAAAAGGAAGTGATGGGTGTGAAATTTTGTTCAGGTTGTGGCTGGCCTATTAAACATGGCTGATAGGGCTGATTGGAGGAATTGTACCATCAGCAAAGAAGAGGAGACCAAGCTGACAGAAAATTTCAAAAAACGGTTTCAGGTATTTGATCCGAACCAATGAAATTTCAAAGGGATACAATGATTAGGAAGTTCCTAATCAGCTTAGAAGGATGTTGGATCCGTGCGGATTCTCCGGCTATGCTCGTATGCTGCGGAGGCTCCTCCCCAGGTCTTGCTTTAGTTTGATGCAATGTCCTTAAATTTGTTTAGGTCCAAATTGCCAGAGTTGAACATTTTATCAGAAACTTGCTACCGTTATCTATATAATAATAACAATTGCCTCTTATCTCAATAATCTGGCCATATCAAGCTATCTTGCTTTGGAATTTGTGGAGAATGGGTCCAAAATTTTCAGTCCTCTCATGTAACTTATCAATATTGATTCTCCAGGGATACTTTTAGCATGTATAAAAATGAGTTAAGCTCCCATCCATTATATTTTTATATATGTATTGTTCGTTTATGTTCACAAATAAAATCATTTATATTCAATAAAAGTTTATGTTCATAAATAAAATCGTTTATATTCAATAAAAGTTTTGTATATACTTCAACAACAATCACACAAGGGTCGTCCTTCAATGTTTTCATTTATATATATCATATAGTTTAACAAATTATAGAAAATTATCGTAGTCAAAAGGTTTAACAAATACGATTTAAATTTGAGTAGTTATATTGATTAAGAGTGTTATTAATAGATTAAAAAAATCTATATAAATATCACACTGCAATCATTCCATCCTATTAAAAAAACTTATTTATATTAAAGTTAGGGTAAACTATACTAGATGTCACTCAAGTTTTTCACCGACTCGTTTATACCACTAAACTTTCAATTTTATTAATTATAACATTGAATTTTGATTTTCACTTTAATTATATCACTACGTCGTTAAATCGTTAATTACAAGAGACATGGCTAACGGGACTGTCACACCAATTATAGCACTGAAATTTTGTTCAGGTTGTGGATGGCCTATTGAACATGACCCATAGGGCTGATTGGAGGAATTGTACTATCAACAAAGAAGAGGAGACCAAGCTAACAATAAAATTTAAAAAAATGATTGTATTTTATCTGAACCGATAGGGTAAACTATGCTCGTGTTTGGGAGTGTAAACTGCGGAGTCTCCTCGAATTTTCTTCTAATTTGATGCAGTGTCTTTAAATTTGTTCGGTGCCCATATGATAGTCAGGTCAACGATCATTAGTTATGTCATTGTATTGTTAATAGTTTAATGATAGAGTGATATAATTAAAACGAAAATAAATTTTAATATTATAATTAATAAAATTAAAAGTTTAATGGTATAGATGAGTAAACAAGCAAAGTAAAGTGGTATTTGACATAATTTACTCTTAAAGTTACTATAACAAAATCAACATAAAATCCACCTAATAGTAATTCAATAATTTCTATTAGGTGATTGTAAGGTAATATATGTTCGAAAGATTCTTAATTATTTAACAATGCACGTTTAAACACTCCTAAAAAATAATATGCTCAAACTCAAAATCTCTAAAGATAACATGATCTTTAGGCTGTCTCCTTACCATGATCTTTTATAATATCACTCGATTCCCGATCCATAACACAATACTTAGTTTACGTTACATGTTGATTCTCGGAGTTGTGGTCCGTGTACCCTATGTTTCATTGTTGTAACTGAACTTGTTTCACAACACTTTTTCAGCGAAAGTGAAGGTTCATTTCAGGTTGGTGGCTTTTACCGGGAAGCTGATGATATTCGTGCCGTAGTTCAACACTTCTCCGTGGAAAATCATGTCGTAAGTGCGATTCTCGATCATAGTAGAGGTGAGTACCCCAACTGTTTCCGACGTGAAATTTTATGAACTAGTTAAGCATCAAGATATCCTTAGTAAGTCGGTCCATCGGCGTTTTTCTACTGTGATTTTGATCTACTTAATCCGTCGATCGGAGATAATGTAATGCAGGGGGAAGTGTGGTGCTCCTTTATGCTTCAGAGTACCATGATATACGTATAGTTGTAAATGTTTCCGGCTGCTAAGAGCCCAAGAGCGGCCTTGCAGAAATCTTGGAAGAGAACTATATGAAAAGAATTAAGAAGGATGGATACATCGATATCAAGAATAAGACAGGTAATTTGTTGATTTAGCTTCCTAACTGCGTTTGATCCTACGTGTTCGTTTTCTTCATGTCTACGTATCAATCGAAATGACAGTGAATCTAGAAAAAAATTTACATTAAATATATATATTAATCACACATATATTTTGTATTTAGACGAACACAATTAAAATTTCAGGATGAGTACAATCAATAAAATAAATAATTAGTAGAAAAAAAAATCAGATTTCAATATGAACACTTATCCATCTTAAATTAAGACGTAGGTAACCTTTTCGAAATATTATAAGTTTGAATTTCAAATCTAATAAAAATTATTTATTTTATAATTATCAGTATAACTTTTCGTGTGCGATAAATATGGGATGAATATAAGGTAGTATATGTTTAAAGACTTCAAACATTTGACAATCAACACTCATACTTGTCAATACACATGCTTGAATCCTAAACTTTAAGCTATAATAACAATTCTTTAACCACTGAAGTCATTTAATTCGTGCTATAATTAATATAATTTAAATATATATCATACTGAAAGCAAATTAATTAACAAATTTAACTCGATGGTTAGATGCTTAATCTCCTTCTAATAGGATCATAGCTTAAGTTTGTGACAAATATCATCTTATTACGTTATTATATCATTGGCCGAATAAAATTAATTAAAATATAAATTAATTAAAAAAATTCACAATAATATTAAAAATATGAAAAACACGTCAGCAACACTAAAATAGAAACTACAAATATAATCAATCAAATACGTTCTCGTACGTATCATCATATCAACCATCCAAACACGCGAAGACACGAAATATTTCAGATTAATATTTAAATAAGTGCTCAAATTATATTTTTTTTCTCGAATAGGTGCTTATAATATTTTTTGGACTATCCATGTGCCCAACATTACAAACGTTACCACTTTAGGTGTCCGGAACGTAATGAATATTAATTTTCTCCGTTAAGTGAAATATGTCACAATTTGATAATTTTGAAATTTATTTTTTTAAAATATTATTATATTTATAAAAAACCTAATTTCTTTTAAATTACAAAACAATCTCACAATCTTAAAATCTTCAAATCCTAACACTAACCCGCTGTCACCGTCCTTTCCGGCCACAACCGTCGTTGTCGACGTAGTCTCTGTCATCATCCTAGTTATACGCCGTCGTAGTTGTTGTCGATTGACCGTTAGCATCGCGATTTTCATCTTAGGGTTCGCGGGATATAAAACGTCGATTCATTGTCGATCCGTCACGATTTCATAGGAGTTTTGGTCGCCGGAGGAGGTGAGGTCGGGTGGAGCTTCGTCAACAATAAAGGGCAGTGGTCTGCATGGGTTTAAGGATTGAAATAAATGTTTTTAAAGTTTTGGGGGTTTTCAAAATTTATGTGTTTTTTTAAAAATATATATAATTTCATTTTTTTATTTTATATAAAAAAATTTAAAATTATTAGATTGTGACATGTGTCACTTAACTGAGGGAATTAATGTCGTTGACAGCCTGAGCACCTAAAGTGGTAGCATTTGTAACGTTAGACACTTAAATGATCTAAAAATTACTGTAGGCACCTATTTGGAAAAAAAGAGTATAATTTGGCCACTTATATGGGTATTAAGCCAAATATTTCATACGCTAGGGTGTAGTGAATCCTAAGTTCCAAAACAAACGAAGGCTTGCGATTTGGAAGTTCAGTCTCATAAAACTCAAACACCTCTTTTAGCTGCTCTAGTCGCGCGTTTCACCACTCAAAGATCGATGGTAAATCTATCTCCATTCAGATCGGATCTCTCTTGGGTTCTTTTTGTTTTTTTCTTCTAATTTTCTATCTTTGTGAATTTGTTTTGATTCATGTTTATTGTTCCAGGCTTCTGCAAAAGCAATAACAAGTCCAGTTCCAGATGCGTGGTACCCAACCCTAGCCGTCTTGATGCTCACTGTTGGCCTTGTCCTCACCGCTTCCTTCTTCATGTAATTGCCTTGATCTTATCTCCCCCACATTATTTCTTCCTATTTTTTCTCTAATGATTTTCTTTTTTCCTTTTTTTTTTCTTGTTGATTCGATTTAGGATGCTGTTTTTGTTTTTTCCACTTATATACTTGGAATTTGTATAAATAGATATGGGCATTCTTGTCTGGTTTGCCATTGATAATTGTCTATGCAATAGGAAACATTGGCCAAATTTGAAATTCAATTTGTGTAATTTAAAATGTTCATTCCGTAGATTTGTTGAGATGTTTAGAGTATATATCTTTTTTACTAGGCAATTGTTAGGCTACAATTTATTCTTTTATATTTGGTGAGAATAGAATACAAGTGTGAATTTGAAGTGGATGATCCCCAGTGCCCTTTGCATTTTGGTGGGTAGCAGGGTTTCAAATCGTGGTCACGTTTTCGGTCATTTCGGGTTTACTGTGATTGTTGCCGTTGCATGCGCAATTGCGGTGCTATTGTGGGTGTAGCGTGTAACTCGGACGGCGGCGAAACCGTGATTTCGCAGGCGATATCACATTTTTTGGACCGTGATTTGAGACCCTGGTGGGTAGCTAATTTGAATTGTCTGTTGCAGCCTAGATGTCAGCTTTGGGTCCTTTTGGGTTTATTTCTATTTTCAGAGTATCTGGGTCTTTTCTGGTTCACAGTCTCGTGTTTTTGAACTTTGAACTTTTATTTTATCTATTAATTCCATAACATTGCTTACAGCCTTAAGATGAATTTCAAAAGAGATGGATAAACTTTTAGCATGTGTAAAGTTGTATCTTAGCCCGTCTAGTTTCTCATCGTTATTCATGCATCTTGTTTAGTTGATTTTGCTGTTTTTGCAGTTCGCACATTGTTTTCCGATCAACCTTACAGTTAGAACTTGAGAGTTCTTTTTAGTTCCACTGTCCTTTTAGTCTACCTGAGTTTGCTTCCTTGAAAGTAATCAATCTCTTTGCATGTGTGGGATCTCATTGTAATAACTTATAGGTCATTTTTCATTTCATCGGTACTGATGCTCACCTGTTAACATACACATGCATCTTTTGGCTAAAGAGTTCCTAATCGGTTGGATAATGTAATTAGAACTTTGAAATCTCTTATCAGTACTGTAATGATCCCTATTCAAACTCCTTTCTGCTTGATCTGTTTTCCTGAAATTCTTTAATTATGCATATGCTGCTGATGTTTGTCAAATAAGTTTCATGGTTGCTATACTGCTTGATATTACACTATATATGCAGTTATGAAGCAACTTCTTCTAAGCGAAACCGCAGTCTTGCCAAGGAGCTCACCACTGGGGGAGTGGCATCCGTCTTCCTGGTATAGCTTTCTGTATCCTTTTGGCCGGATGTCTCTCTTCCATAATACCTTACTTATTTGTGCATTATTGATGCTTGCTTCTCAATATCCTCACAGGGTTTCGGATCATTGTTTCTGCTACTCTCGGCTGGTGTTTATGTCTGATTATTGTATTACTCGACCATTATAAAACAATTTCCCGAGCGGAATTATGTCATGTTATGGATCATGGATTTGACATTGTCATTTACAGACATTAATTATCAGATTAGGATAGCTTCTTTGATAACATTTTGATATCACCCGTGGCAGAGTGTTCTTGCTACATGATTTTTATCAGATTTTTCACTTGCACAATGTAGTTGAATGTGAAAGATCCATCTTTATCTCTCCGGTGGACTGGAAGAATGTTATCAGTTTTGAAACAATAAGTGCAATTTAAGAACAACGGTGTCGACGGAACTAAGACTCGACAGAAAATTTAAGACATCAAATTGTGATGTTCGATATCCTCTTGGGGGAATATACAGAAGCATAGATTTCACAATTAAATGAATTTAATCAGATCACATACCAAAAGGGGGATGCTTTTTGTTATTGTTGCATTGGATTGAAAATCAATCGTCAGAAATGATATTTAATGTCCAAATAACAGCAAAGTCTGATATTTGATGAACTTGATCGAAGGTCAACTTTGAAGTTCAAATTCGAATTGAAGTATAATTGATTCGTTCGTGCTCGAACTCGATTAAATTTATTTAGAGTAGTGAATATTGGTATAAAGTTTTAGAGGAGTGTAATTAATTTTTTTAAAAAGGTTTGATTAAACTCACAAATAATCTGAATCGAATATTATACGAGTTTAATAACTCGACTTGATAACTATTAAATTTTAATTTTTTAAAAATTTAAATAAAGTAATTTACAAATGTAAATGTGTAGTTTACGTCCCTAACTAAATCATCACTCAAATACATTAATAACTCAACGTGATTGAAAGAGCCTTCGAACTTGCCGCGTGTACATCACTCCACTTTTAAAGGGCGTAGCACATCAGGGAAAACAAACACCATTTTTACCATATTTCCCCCATTCACCCCAATACAGTGTCAGTAGGGTCTTGTCTCGGGTGCCCGGAAACCAGTGTTTGTTTTTCTCTTCTGTTTGATTTAAAAGCATCATCAAACACTCACCATCTCAAAAATGGAGTCTCCCCAGCACCAACAGCAACAAGGACCCAAGAAGAGAGGCCGAAAACCAAAGCCAAAGGACGAGAAAGAACAACAGCAACAAAGTGCGGGTAAAACGAAAGAAGGAAAGAAATCCCAGCAACCGAGCGTTGATGAGAAGTACACTCAATGGAAGTCTTTGGTCCCTGTTCTCTATGACTGGCTTGCTAATCACAATCTCGTTTGGCCTTCTCTCTCTTGCCGGTAAAACTCGGTTACCTTTCTAAGATTGTGGATTTTTTTGGCTATTGTTGCTGAAAGACATTCCTTTAAATTTTAGGGTTTAATTGTGTTATGTAAAATTCTTGATGATAGTTTAATTTGGTTTTGAGCAGCTGGGGTCCACAGCTTGAGCAAGCTGCTTACAAGAATCGACAGCGTCTCTACCTCTCTGAGCAGGCAAGTTATTTCCCTCTTAGGGAGTTTTTTTTTGAAAGCCTTAACTGACTGGGCATAAATTGCAAACTGAGTAGAAGAACCTCCTTGTTTCATTTTTGTGTTGGTGCTTGATGTTTCAGTTTTACATAAAAAAATCTCTCTTCTGGAGTCCTAATTCATGCATGACGTTTCATTTTACTCAACATTATTTTTCTGTGGAAAAAATGTTTTTATTGTCTATTTTGACATCTTTTTCCGTGGTTATTGTCTTATAATATAACACCAGACGGATGGTAGTGTTCCGAATACTCTTGTGATTGCGAATTGTGAAGTTGTCAAACCTAGGGTTGCTGCTGCTGAACACATATCTCAGGTTAGTGGTAACTAATTTTCATTAGATCTTTTTTCCTTTGTGCAATTCAATACTGATGCATGCAGCTTTCTATTTTTCAGTTTAACGAGGAAGCACGCTCACCATTTGTAAAGAAGTACAAGACCCTCATACATCCTGGAGAGGTATGAATCTTGCACATTCTTAAAAAAATGTGTTTGCTTTCAAGATGGAACTCAACCATGTAAAATAAATGATATTTTGATTTGACAATTGATTCTTCCTTGGAAGATGGAAATTGAAATATAGTCTTTGCTTCTGACGAATGACATCTTCGGAAATAGATATTCTGCTTACTTAACTACCTGTTTTGCTTATATAGCAGTATAATTTAATTATCATTTCCTCTTTGTTTTTCATTTGGTAGTTATATATTGTGACCGCTAAATACTATCTTGCAGGTGAACAGAATCCGAGAACTTCCACTAAACTCTAAGATTATTGCTACACACTGATAGTCCAGATGTAAGACTCTTGTTATTTCTGTTTTGTTAAATTATATGAAATCGATATTCCTGTCACGTTTTCTTTCTATGAAGACGTTACAAGTCCACCTGGTATTTGACTTGCTTAAATCTAGGTTCTTATTTGGGATGTTGAAGCTCAACCCAACCGTCATGCTGTCCTTGGAGCCACACATTCTCGCCCTGATTTGGTATCTTTATTTATATGTATAGTAATAGTAAAAGCCATCTCTGTTCTAGTGTGTATGTATATATTCTCTGAGCCCTGAGGAGGGGGTGTTGATGGAACCGTTTTTCATTGAAAACCTTTTTTTCTTCCTTTTTGACAGATTTTGACTGGACATCAAGATAATGCTGAATTTGCTCTTGCAATGTGTCCCACTGAACCCTATGTCATATCTGGAGGTTCGGAAATTTCATAGTTCAATTAACTGTATATTTGTTTGGAATTGTTGGTTTTGTTGATATGTTTTGTACTGAAATCTTCCTGGAAATCGTGATCTTATCTCTTTGATATGATCATATGAGACATTGTGACTTCATTTTCTTCCTATTACACAGAGTGTTAATCATGTTAAAATATTCAATTTGGGAGTTGAATGTTCTTTTTCCACATATAATGTATCATATGTTTGAAATTGCTTCATCTAATTCAGAAGTGGCAGATTGGACTATGTTTTACTCTGTTCTAGTGCATAACTTAACTTTGACGTGGTAGATACTTGTTCCAAGACCTATGGGTATTACTTTTTCATTTTTAAAATTGGGTCAACAGAACTGAATTTCATGCATATGATGAGCTTTTCTTCTTAATCAGAGGACTTTTATGACAGGGAAGGACAAATTAGTGGTTTTGTGGAGCATCCAAGACCACATATCTGGTGGATCGATCATCAAACAGAACAAGCCCGGGGAAGGTAATGATAAAGCTGCTGATGGGCCTTCTGTAGGTCCTCGTGGTACCTTCTGTGGGCATGAGGATACAGTTGAAGATGTTGCATTCTCTCCATCCAGGTAGCTGCTTTCTCTTTAATAAAAATATAAATGGACTTAATTCTTTATTGTATTTCTTCTCGAGTTCAATTCTTGAAATCTTCATACAAAGATGAATTCACTCAAATGGCTTTATCATTGGTTTCACTTCCACGGTTGTACTTGCTTTTTAATTTTACTTTCTATGGTATCTAATTTCTGACAATTTTTATATATGCTGTAGTGAGCAGGAGTTTTGTAGCGTAGGTGATGATTCCTGCCTCATATTATGGGATGCACGAGTTGGCTCTAGCCCCGCTGTCAAGGTATTTCTTATTAGTTTATAGTTTTGATAATAATAACTTCTGCAGATTCCCCCCCCCCCCCCGCTGAATAGTGTAGCCCCATCTTATCTGTTGATCAACATTTGTAAAATGGTTTATAGTTTATACTTTATAGTACATAGGATGGTATGATATGAACCAGTTAACTAGGTAGCATCATTATTGTACCAGCATTTTTTCCCCTTTTATGTCGATGGGGCTGGAAAGCGATGTGACTTCTCATTTACACAAACTAGTTGAAAGTTTGACTGCTGTTCTTATTCTTAGTTATATCTCCCTGTTCCTTCTATTAGGAGCTTCTTTCTCTTGACCATTGTCTGTTTTAACTCACTTTGAAGTGGATGTGATTTGATATCAGAATCCAACCATTTAGCTTTTTCCCAGCTTATGAATTCCTGTTGGTGAATCAACAATATTCCTCATGTTTTCTGTTTTGATCTTGTTATTATCTTTATGAATGTAATTTTGAATTTGGATGATAAGGTAGATTGTTGGCTTCTTGTTGACAGGTTGAAAAGGCACATGATGCTGATCTTCATTGTGTTGATTGGAACCGCCATGATGATAATCTTATCCTGACTGGGTATATCTCCATCCATGTTTCTTTAAGTTTTGCAATTTCCTTTGGCATCGAAGTCTGACATGCACTTAGCATGTTTTGCAATGATATTGATGGGTAAAGGACGGAACATCATTTGTCTTCTTTTGTTGATCTCTCAGGTCCGCCGATAATACTGTTCGTTTGTTCGATAGAAGAAATCTCGCTTCTAATGGAGTTGGATCACCAATTTATAAGTTTGAGGGTCATAAAGCTGCTGTTCTATGCGTTCAGGTCTGAAAAGAACCCATTAATTTCTTATGCTTTGCTTCCTTTTTACTACAAATGTGATTATTAGTGTTTTATCATGTATCCATTCTTACCAAAATTTATAATTCTCATGGTCCAGTGGTCTCCAGACAAGTCATCTGTATTCGGTAGTTCTGCTGAGGATGGTCTCTTAAACATTTGGGACACTGACAAGGTGTGACTGCTTGAACATTCTTCAGTTAATTGCCTTTTAATACGTGATATGCTCGTATGCTTAACACAGATAACACACATGGCCATGCATTTATGTCGAACTCTAGTATTTTAGTGCTGCCCGCCCATTTTTACAATTTGCATGAATAATTTCTGCAAGGAAATGTTTTTCGATTTCTGTAGTCAATTTTAGGAAACTGAACTCTCATTCGGTTTTCATGAATTGATAATTACGGTTCATATCTTTCTAAGATTGCCAAGTTCTCCATCTTCAGTGTCCTTTTCTTCTTTTTCCCTCAAGTTTGACTTTTGTTTTTTATATTTCATGTAAAACATAGATAAAGACTTTGCCTCCAAAGTTCGGTTCGGATATATTGCTTATCGGGGTTGTAATAGCCATATACTTGACATTGATATCGAGGTTGATTTTACTTGCTCGTTGCTCATCTCTATTGCAGGTTGGCAAAAAGGTGGATCGACCTTCAAAATCTCCTGGTACTCCTGCAGGACTCTTTTTCCAGCATGCCGGCCACAGGTTTGCAACTGTTTCCAATATGCATATCATGAATTGGGACTCTTTTATGAAGTTCGCGATCTCTGCTTCATCTTTATTCATGTTTCGCATTCTTTCATCTGTTTTCTTTTCCTTTGTTTTCTTCTTCTTGTGCTATCTCTATGCATTTAAAACTCGCACCATTAAACTGGTTTCCTCAATGATATTTGCGTTTCATTCTACCTGATTTGTTTGCAAACCTTCTCAATCTCTCGACTTTTTTTCAGGGACAAAATTGTTGACTTCCATTGGAATGCATCTGATCCGTGGACCATTGTTAGTGTTTCTGATGACTGTGACACCACCGGTGGAGGAGGGACATTACAGGTATAATTACTAGTTTCCAGTCTAGCTTTTAAGTGTTAGAAAATACAATTTGTTTTTCTAAAGTCGATTTAAATGAGCACGGTAAGAGTGAAGGTATTGCTAGTGTAGAGCAATGTGCAAGAGCCATTACCTTGCATATTATAGATTGCAGAACATGTTACTTACATAATCAAAGGGGATTGCAAGTACATGCTACTTGTAATGACATTCCTTCACTTTTGGTTATGATTTATGAAGTTACTCTGGTTTGTTGCGACTCATCTTTTGGAATAGCTTTCATTCACATCTCGGCTTCCACGCCCTGATTTACCCATGAATCGTTCGATTCTCTTCTCTCCTTCAAACTCTTTGTTTTGTCTCAATAAAGTCGAAGCAAATGCATAAAATTACAATTATATATAAGCTAAATGATGATATGCAGATATGGCGCATGAGTGATCTGATCTACAGACCAGAGGAAGAGGTTTTGGCAGAGCTCGAGAAATTCAAGTCCCATGTCATTTCATGCGCTGGCAAACCATGAGTGACGAGATCGATCAGAAGGACGAAGGCCCGAATCTTTCCAGATTGACTCGTAAAAAATCTCTGTAGTAGTCCGAAAGAAATGGGGTTGAGATGCTTTTGTAGGTGCCATTGTGGATTTTGAGACATTGATGCATTTAGACATGGTTGTAACTTTGATATTGATGCAGCTGGACACTGATCATAACATTGTTGAACTCGATGAACCATTGAATTCTAAGATGGGGTCCCAAAACTTTATTTTTCTTTATTTCCAATCCACCATGGTTGCATTGCATGTCACAGTCATGAATTATGATGCCAAGTGCCAACATTTTTTTTTCCCTTCTCTTTTTTTCCTTCTACTGTTTTGAAATTAAAGCATTGAACATGGATTATGTGTTTTGGCCTTATTTTATCATGAAAAAAGAAGGAAAAAAAGAAAGTGTAGCCGATGTTCTTTTGGTTCTCTGTTAAGACCGATGTTTCCACGTTTTACACATCTAAAACAAAAAGGTCTTATTTTAGTTTTGGTCCCTTCTGTTATATCATGATCATAAATTGCGGTAGTGTTAGAGATTGTTCTTCTAGTAATATGATATCTAAAGTTTGATTATTGATGTTTTTTAGGATATAACATGTCTTATCATTGCATACAACATATATATAAGAAGGCGTATACTATATTACATATTAGGCTTAATGTTTGTTTTACTTTTGTATTATGATAAAAAATGTACTTGTCATTTTATAAATATTTTATTAATTCATTCACTTAACTTTCATTTCTTCTATCAAACTAATTCTAATGATTTTAAAAATATATATTATTTCTTTTTTTCTGTAATTTTCAAGACCTTTTTTATTCTATTTAATATATATTATCAATTAGATTTTGAATTTAAATTCTAGATATTCAAATGTACCGAAACTCAGTGTTGTCAATAGAATTTTACATTTTAAATCAAACAATTAAAGGAACTAAAAGAGAAGGCATTAAATGAAAAAAATCATAGAGTAGAAGGACGGTAAGCATAATTAAACCTTTTCGAATTATAAAATCCATGGTGTTTTGTGACCAAAAGCACTGACATGTGTGTAATCCTTTCCCCGGTCTATTTCCCGCCATTTTCCCCGCAAAGCCATGGTTGCCACGTAAGCCGAAATCTTCCACGTGGCGCTCACTTTTTGCCCGCCATGTCATTTTAAAAAAGATCATCGAATCTGACGTCTGGCATTAAATGCATCGGTCATTGCATCAAAATCAAATTTCCGTAGCCTTCCTCTTTACGTCGTTGCTTAAAATACCCTAAGGTCTTCTCGCTTTTCATCTTTCCTCTTCTCTTTGAACGGGACTATTATTTCCATGGAGGAAACCGGCGAAGAGTCTCCGGCGCTCAAACGGAAGAGAGAGGCGGGAACAACTGAGCTGAACGATGAAAGTAGTGAGTGCGAGACTGAGTCGATGAGCGAGTTGTTGAAGCTTCTGGACGACTCAGCGGAAGCGACCGTTTCAGCGTCTTCATACACGTCTTCTCCGACGTCGTACGGGACGAGGGTTAAGTTCAGCGACAACCCGTATTCGACGGCGTTGATTTTTCAGTCGTCGTCTTCGTACATCACCATCAACGGCAACGAAGAGAGCTGCGGGTCGTCGTTCTCGGAATCGGAGTCCAGCGTGATGGCGAGCGTCGACATGGGTGGGATTTTGAACGCGAATGCGAAAGCTGGGAGTGGTTTGGATGGGATCAGAGAGTGGTTGGAAGCGGAGGAGGACGGAGGCGCGTACGAGGAAGAGGTGCGTGGGTCGATGCTGGATTCGCAATGGGAATGGGACGAAGAGCAGCTGGCGAAGTTTCTAGGGGAGGAGTGTCCTTGAAATCTGTGAGTAAACGTGAACAGTTATGACCATTTTGTTAATAGTGGAAAGTTTTCTTTTATATAATTATATTATTCCGATATCTTAATCATATATAAATCAAAGTATATTAGATTTTAAAATATTAAATTAGTACTTAGGTTTAATCAATTAGATATTTGTATGTTATAAATAATTATAAAAATATTCGAATTATATATTATCTTAAAAATAAAAATATTTTTTTTAAAAAAAGAAGTTAAGAGAACTAAGGATTACATTTGCATAGGGCAGTATATTATTGTATGATATGATAAGAATGAGATTACCGAATCAGCTGATACGGTGTGAAAATGGCATAATGGTGCGTTAATATTTGATTTGTTGAAAGCACGAGTTACGTGATGTTTAAGTAAAAAGTGATTGATTAATTCGAGACTGATCCTTGTCTTTATCGGTGGATATTTCTACACTAACCAAAGTAGGGTTGACATGTTTGGCTCATAAAAGGGTCAACAGTCAACATTGCGCCTGCTTGCTTGATTCACGCTTTCATCAATGGCTTTCACCGTCAAATCTCTGGCCAGTCGATGATATAACAGTTAGCCCTAGCTTGGGATATTATCATAAAGCCGGTAGCAAACTTTAAAGCTTACTGCTGCAGTAATAAATTCAAAGATGACTTTGAAAGTAGTTGTAACAAAGTTTCTCTTTTTGCTCTTATTGGTAGAGTCAGACTGTGTCACTGAAAACCGCTGCTTTCTGATTTTCCTGCATATTCAGTGCTTACATGTTCATGCACACCACAAACGTCAAAATAACTATTAATACGTAAATAAATACTTTAAAAAGTATTATTAAATTTATCCGTATTACTTTTTTTAAAATATTTAACCCTTAAACATTTTATTATGAGTCAAAAAATATCTTCGTTGGATAGAAACAGTTAGTTAACGGTCACGGCATGGTATTAACTAAACAAGAACACGTGGACTCAGATGTTGATGTGGTGTGTCCAGATCATAATAGATGATGAAGTGTCATTGTCACGTCATATTTTTAAATAAAAATTAAAATATTATTTTTAATATTTATATATTTTTATTTAATATTTTTTTCTAATGAGATAATAACATGTATCAATAAAATATTGATTTAAATTTAAATCAAACAAAACATGCTTATGTGGGAGTTAAATATGAGCCAAATGGAATCCCTTACCTAACCACCAAACTAAATCTTTCATTTGTTAATCTCTTCCATTACAAAATATTTACAATTTCTGGCTCCATAAAATAGTGACGTGAATTCATTCGCTCTCTCTGTGGTCAGGCATCGAGAAATGGATTCAAAATAAGTGGCGATAAGACGATTCCTTAACTAAGGTCTTGCTAAAAGCCCTTCAAATTTGTCACCTTCCCAAGTGTTAACCTAACCCATTACCCGTTGCCCATTTCCATCATCAAAGATGGAAGAGTCGACATTGGAGCAAAAGCTCCATGATTTAGCCCACATCCTGACAAGCCCCACAATCTCACCACCTCTCCAATCTCAGCTCTTCATCTCCACACAAATCCCATGCTTCCTCAACTGGGATTTACCTCCAATTCTGTGCAATAAACCCAACTCACATGCCTTCCCTCCACCTCCAATGGGGATTATCTCTTTTCCTCAAGATTGGGTCTTCCCGAAACTTCCTGGAGGTCCAAGTGCCCTTACACTCAGCCCCCACCGTTGATTCTGGCCAAGGGAGTGGATGAAGCTCAGTGGGGTGATGCGCAGAAGACGGAGTATGTTAGGAAGAGGCTAAGAAGGAAACGCCTTGGAAGCAATATCAACCCTTTGATTCCCATTTTGATTCCTGATGCATTATTGTATAAGCAAGATACTCCTTATGTATTTCAAACTTGCATTTTCAATTATACACTTCTACAAAAACAATTTAATTACCGGCACCTTGACATTAAAATTCAGAACCAAAGTTTTATATACTGCTAGATCACACAAAGCTCATAGTTGTGGGTTTATTTGACATAGTTAGCTGAAACAAGTTGATCAGACCAAATTACATCAGCCCAACGGTTGCTTGCATGAATCATTACCGTATCTGGTCAATGAATTGTGTCACTGCCTTCCAGTTTAATAGCTTAAATCTTTGTGTTAATTATTTATTTATGTGTAAAATCACGTAGTTAAGAGGAGAAGAAATTTCATGTCAAGAGGGATAAAGAATGTGTTTGATAAAATGTGTGAAAGACATAACATATATGTTAAATATTTTGTAATGTAAAAGATAAACAAATAAAATATTTGGCTTGGTGGTTAGGTGATGGGTTCCAAGCATTTGGCTCAGGTTTAACTCCCCACAAAAACATGTTTTGCTTGGTTTAAATTTAAATCATTATGGTGTTGACATGTGTCATTATCTCATTGGACAAAAAATATATAAACATTAAGAATAATATTTTAAATTTTTATTTAAAAATATGATGTGGCAATGCCACTTCGTCATCTATCATGACCTGGACATGCCACATTAGCATCTGGGTCCACATGTTCTTACTTGATCAGCACCATGAGTTGACCGTTAGTTGATTAACGGTTTTCATCCAATGAAATTTATTTTTGACCCATAATGAAACGTTTGGGGGTCAAATATTTCAAAAAAATAACATGAGAAAATTTGACAATATTATCAAACGTTAAGAATATTTGTTTGCATTATGCCATAGTTAAAAAAAAACAAACTAATGATAAAATATGAACTTTGTTATCTCATAGTGGGCTGCTGACTTTGAATTTGGCCCAATACATTAATTGGATACAGTGCGTGTAGCTCTGTAATGGGCCAATTTTCTGGTTCGTAGCCTCTTTTGCCCATTGGATATTAGTCCAACAAAGGTGTGGAGAAAACAAACTATGTATACGGGTCGAATAAGGTTTTGGTCCTTCTACTAATGTTTACTTTTGAATTTTAGCCCTTATATTTTAATTTCACTTTATTTGATTTCTCTACTTTTATACTTTATTAGTCAATTCAAATCGTTAACACTTCTAACTATTTTGATCAATATATAAGTATCTCAAAATCTTTATAACATTAATATATTGAAACCAATACAAATACAAATATAGATATATATATGGGTAAATTACATGTTTAGGACCTAATTATCATTTTTTTTGTTTTGGTAACCCAACCTTTTTAAAAAAAAAACATACTTAACGTTATGTTTTGCTTTCATTTAGGTCACTCGTCATTAATAAAGTAATAGAACTATTAATGTGGTATTTAAAAAAATCAATTAAGACTTGACATTATCTTATGGTGACACGTCAACATCACCATTGATTTTTAATGGTGAGTGACCAAACTGAACATTAATAAGGTATGTATGATTTGAAATGATAGATAAAGGTATGTATGATTTTGAAATAAAAAAATAATCGGGTGACCAAAACGGAACAAAAAATGATAGTTAGGATATTAAATATGGAGTTTACCCATATATATTGACAAAAGTATAATTTTATGTGAGAAGATGCGAACTTAAAGAGTAATATCATAAATTTAAAAGGCGTGGAATTATAAAAATTTCAAAGATATTAAAGTAAATAATTAATGAAAAATACAAAATAAATACTAAAACAATAAATTAAAAATTTTAAGAAATATGACCATAATCTGAGTACCCTTGGGTCGATCCCCGTATGCAAAGAAGATATAAGTTCACCACCCGGATGAGATACAAACTAGGGTTCGGTTACCCCATTAAATTTGCAAGCAGCATAGGTTAATGTATAGAAAGGGATGGGGGCGGGGCCTATGGGGTGTGAAACAGTCGTTATAAGGCCCCGGTGGATGGATGGGGCCGTCGTAGGTCGTCTGATAACAACCGGTGTTTGGACATACCTTCCCATCACTGACACAAATTCACGAGCGTCGCCATCCCCACATCCTTTAACCTCTAAAACCACTTGTTATAGGAGTGATTAACAACCTGCCAACGTAGCTGCCTTCTTCATCGTATAAATTATATACCATTTTTAATTCCATAATTATCAATATAATGCTTTACTATCTACAAAATATTTTAAATATATTACTATACATGTTGTAACGTTTTAGAAAGCGATGAGGTTTCGATTTTAAACGAAAACCTTTATTTACGACTTATTTGGGAAAATTTTAAATTTTTTATTTAATTTGATTAAGTTGATTTGAAGTCGTCATCGACCTTTGTGTTAGGTGAGTCGAATACCTAAAACGTTTTTAATATAATTTTGAGAAAAATCGTTTAAAAGACAATTGTGTTTGCCAAAAATTTATTTTTAAAGATTCGAGAGTCGATTACACGTGGGGAATGATATAATCACCCTCATAGCGCCTAAAACTGGTACCTAGTCACTTATACCTTGTTGTAAAGGTGGAAGTTGTGGATTCGCATTGAAAATTAAAGTAAGATCCTTTTATTGAATATCGGTTAATTTATCACCAATTATTTATTAAGGAGCATTCCTTAATTTGAGAAGAAATCATAGGATTCACACATCCTCCAATGGGAAGGCTATCCCACCTAATTCTCCTCTATACGACAAATGTCCCTCCTCGATGTTATCACGAAAATCGCCAATCGAATATTAATTGAATATTTAAAAATGAATAACACAACAAACTATTTAAAACATGCATTGTCATTTATTTAAATTGAAAATAAAAAATATAAAAATGGATCAATTATTATTTTTTAATAAAATAAACTCGATTTATTTCAAATTCATTTTCCGGAAAGTTCGAATGTCGTCTTGAATCGCACTACGTCTATAACGTTGTGTTTTTCACGTCCATTCTACGACAAAGTGTTCTCGAAAGCATACGAGTAAAAAAAGGATGAATATTAGTATCGAACATACGTGTATTTTACAAATTTAATAAGTAATGATTTTTAGAGAAAATGGATGTCACAAATATAATAAAACAGAAACCTTGACATTTAAATAAAATGAAGTAAATAAATTAAAATAAAAGTGAACTACAGTCCATGATTCACAAATGAAAACTATGGCTAAATCAAAACTGTGGTCTACAAGAGCTAACATGCAATAAAAGTGAACCGATCAACGTTGGAAGCATCTGCGTCGTTAGATGTCGTTAGATCGGACAACAGAGAGGCAACGATGGCGCCTCCTAACTCTAGCTGCTAGGCTCGTGGGCTGCAATCTTTGGGCCAGCTGTTTGGGTATTTGTTTAGAGTCTGATTTTTTATGTATGGACCTGCAATAAAATAAAGAAACATATTTATTTTTTTAATTCAAACTCAGGGTGTGTAAAAATACTCGACTCGGTTGACAAGACCTGCTTACCCTAATATTAAAAACCGGTTAATTTTATTTTAAAGTCGGGCCCTTGTCACAAAATTGTGAGTACCCGGTTAGTTTTTATTTTTTTATTATATATATGATATAATATGATATGAAATGATTGATATGATATGATATGGTATGCTATGATATGATATGATATAATATAATAGATTATTTATATTATGAATTATTAGATTTTGTATGTCGAACTTTTAAATTTTATGTTCGGATGTTGGAGTATGTAATTCGAAGTTCGAACATTTAAATTTGTGTATATATTTTTTTAATTAATAATTTGAAAATGAAAAAAAAACGGATACCCGCAACATCCGGGTCGGGATACGGGCCGAGAAATAACTGACCTAGATGTTCCTGGTACCCGAATTTGTACACCCCTAATTCAAACATATATGCATACGTATAGTTATAAGTTAATAAAAGTAATAGTCACCCCTTATTCATATAATTAATAATTATCCTAATCTAACTAGTAACCAATTTTATATCACTTTATTATAGGTGTAGGCAGGGGCGGACCCAGGACAAAAATTCAGGGGTTGCACAAAAAAATTCTTATAAATTTTTTTAGGGGTTGCACAATATTAAAGGTGACACTTGTATTAATTAAAAAATAATAATAATAACACTAAGTAGACAATTTTATTGTATAATTTTTTTCTATAAGAATTTAACTGAAATATAGAGATTCTACCTAAAAATCACAAAATATATATATAAAAATACTAAAATAATAACATTTGATCAATGTTCCTCACAATTTGAGGGGTTGCCCGTGCTAACCCTGGCAACCCCCCTGGGTCCGCCCCTGGGTGTAGGATTTACTTACACTTGTAAAACTCATAGTTTACACGAAAATATAGTAATCGAATGAATCTAAATATATAATTAAAATTAAAGAAAAATTATTTATTTTTCATGAAAAATAAAAGAGAAAAAATATAATATTAATCGATAATTTTGTTTCTAATCTCAATCATCAAATTAAATTTATCTAATGACTACATTTTCGTGTAAAACTATTTATACATGGTGCAAGTGAATCATATCACATTTATATACTACATAAAAATAAAATTATAAAACTATATAATATAGCATTATGATCCACTAACTAAGTTTAATGGATGGGATTAAAAAAAATAAAATCATGTATAATATTTATTTTTGGTATTTTTTTCATTCTCTGCCATTAATCTTTGTAATCTATTTTCACTTATCAATTTAAAAAACTTATAAAAATTAAAAGTTTTACAATACACCAAGTAATCATACCTCTATAAAATAAATATTAGAAATATATTTATCTGTATATGTTTTGAAGAGAAAATATATTTGATAAAAAGTATAGACTTATTAAATATTAAACTGAATATAGAAAAAATATTTATAATAATAATAATAATAATAATAAATAATATAGATTAATAGATGAGTAAAAATGAATTTAGATTAGTCATTTATAAATACGGATTGATTTGAATGAAATTTGAGATATACATTCTAGATCGAGAATATACATATTATGCATATGTTGCTTGACTCGTGAACACCTATATCATACTTATATATATATATACTCATATTATTTAGGTAAGGTCTGAAATTTTAAATTTTGAAAAAATTTGAATTAAAATTGATCATATTAAAATATGAATAAAAACGATTTATGTATAATCCAAGGACGATAAAGTTTGACCAAATTAAAATCATGGAGAGGATCCACATTCGTTAAAATTTCAGAAACATCCAATATCTGTGCATTAAGTTAGGAAAACTAATCCTCAGTACTGTCTCATGGAGCAACGAGTTCTTTCTTTCTTTCTTTCTTTATCTTGTGTTGTGCCTTTCTTTCCTCGGCTCTTCTTTCTATATATATAACATGTTAAGATTCCCCATGGTAATTGTAAACCTTCAAACGATGTCTGGACAGCTCCTGTCTGCTCATATATATGAAAAGAAGAACGAACATTTCTAGGTAAAAAAAAGTACGTAAAAATGGAGTTATATAAGGAGCTATACGTGAAACATGACAGGGTCAGTAGTGAAATAATATGTAAGAACTCTAAGATGCAAGATCGATGGCAATTGGCGAAGCATTTGCCTCTTGCCTGCACACTGCATTCAATGTTTTTGGCAAGGCTAAGGTTGGTGAAGAATGGAGAGGTATATCACATGTATGCATATATATATATATATATATATATATATATATATGAGCGTGTGTGTGATGAGAATGTAATTTTTGTTAAGATCAAACCTTTTAATTTATGTATTGTTGTACCTCCTCTATTTTTTTATTTTTTTTTATTTTATAAAAGTTATATTTTCGCTTTTTTTTTTGTCTATCGAGAGATAAAATCTCTAGAATTTTCGGAGTTTCTGAAGTTATATATCGTTCAAAAATGTTGTACCTCCAATCTTCCTATGCAAGCCGTGCCTCTACAGTCATTTTTTCACCTATGGAGACTTCTAGAGTTTCATATCTGCTAACTTATTCCATATCTTCTGGCTTGCTACTTTCCCTAGATACTATCCTTAACGAACTCATGTGATCTGTCAGAATCAAATATATTTTTCGATAGTTATATTTATTTGATCTGTCAACTTACATATAAACATCATAACCCTAGAATTCACGCCACACAAAGTTGAAAAGGGATTCTCTCTCGGACTCTCTCATTATATCTTTTTGTATGATTGTTCATCGTAGTCCGTCTGATTATTCTTATTTTCTATTATATAGAGTAATTGGCTGCGACTCTTCACCCAATTTTTATTTTTAAAGAAGTGAATAGTATATAGTCGGCACTACACTTTTCATAACATGCATATGGTACTAGCTAGCTATCACGAAGATCAGAATTGGGGTTTAAATTTTTGTTTTTATATGTTTAAATTAGTGAAATATTATATGATTATTTTGTGTGGCTACCATGAAACGAAGAACTCTATCTGATTGTTTCTGAAATGGCATCAAAATGGAGAGTGAAAATTGCTGCAGATAGGGTTTTTTTTCCTTTAAATATTTCTGAACAGGATGGAGAAGCATTAGCATAAGCATTCCATGCTCATCTCCTTCTCCCTTTTGTCTTCTTTGAAAAATGGTGTCATATGTATGAAATCACGTGAACCTCTTGTTCCTCTCTCCCTTTCTCCTCGATCTCTTCTTCAAAACATCGATCCTCCACCTTTACTGGACGATACTACCAACAATATCTCTGCTGTTCGCCGCTTGATTTTCCTCTCTATCTCTATTGCCCCTCATGACTTCTAGTAATTGCTATTCTTCCCTTTACCCTTTCTCTTTGGACCTTAACGAAGATGATAAGCACCAACAGCACCACTTTTTTACCTTGAAATCTCAACCTTCTTCTTCATCATCTTCCTCCTCTCTTACTTGTCCCACTTTCTTCAACCCAACTGTTCAAAACCAAGCAGATTCTTGTCAAAGAGAATCCCAGGAGTTTCCATATCAACAAGATCAGGTATATCTTTTGATGCGATCACTTAGGGTTATGATCATTTCCTTAACTTTATATATATGTTTGTGTGTGTGTGCGTGTCTAAGTATCTAAGTTCCTTGATTTTCAGGCTAAGATACATGTTCCACAAGATGGTGACAGTGCGCTCAAGTTATCGATACGGAAAAACGAAGAAAGGATTGAAAGTGACGATCATCACCATGAGGACAGTTCATATAAGTGGATGCCTTCAAAGATGAGGATTTTGAGGAAGATGATGAGTTCGGAGCGGTCGGATTTATCGAAAAGCTCGATGGAGACGAAATTGGAAGACCTGAAGGTTCAGATAAATCAGCTCTCGTCATCTCCGGATAACACCAGCTACTCTTCTTACAATAATAAAAACAACAACAGCCCTATTAGGGTTTGTACTGACTGCAACACAACTAAGACTCCTCTTTGGAGGAGTGGTCCTAGAGGTCCCAAGGTACATATGTTATATATATATATAAATAAATACTTAATTTTTTTCAACTCTTTAGTCTTTTCTAATCAACACCCTTATCATAAAATCTATTCTAAGTTAAAATTATAAATTGCAGTCTCTTTGCAATGCCTGCGGAATTCGACAACGAAAAGCGGGACGAGCATTGGCTGCGGCAGCCACAGCATCGAATGGGGCCATTGTTGAAGCTGAGACAACGACAAGTGTGAAGAGTACTAAGGTTCAAAACAAGGCAAAGAGATCAAGTAATGGTTGTGTGGCAAAGTTAAAGAATACTACAAAGTGCAAGCTTAGTTCCCAGTCCCAAGGTAGAAGAAAGAAGCTTTGTTTCGAGGATTTGAGGGTAATATTGAGCAAGAACTCGACTTTTCATCGAGTTTTCCCACAGGATGAGAAGGAAGCTGCGATCCTGCTGATGGCCTTATCGCATGGGCTTGATGGTTGAAAAATTAACTAGTTTTTTCATTGTTATTTTTTTTTTCTTAACTAGCTTTGAATAATGACTCAGATCATCAATTATTGTCTGAAAAAACTGAGTTTTATGCTTGAGTTATCGGGGAAATTAAGATTATTAGTGTGAGGCAAATATAAATCATTGTATTATTTTATATATTATGTTGTGAACTTTATAACAAAATTTTCAAGGTCTTATTTCCATTATTCCATCTCTTTCCCTCTCCTCTATTGGATTAGGGTTCATCTACGAGACATGAACACACAATTTACTTACATTTAAGTTCCTTACCCGATTAGGTTTCAAAGTTGACTTGCATATAGATTCACTAGGCAATTTTCTGCAAGGTTTTGGCCATAAAGTAGTCGACTTTTGAAGTCACGTGAAGGAGTTTCCTCTGACACCATGGATGGATCCAATGTTTGTGGTGCGACGGCACTCTTTAAATTTTTTTATTTTTCTTATAGTTTAAATATTTTATTTGTATTTTCTATTGATGATCTAATTTCACTCTCAAAATTTTTAATATAACTTATTAAATTCACACTCATTATATAAATTCATGAGTCCATCTTGTCTGACACATTCTTTTATTCGTTCATATATATATATATATATATATTATTGTATTTAAGTATAACTTGAAAGGTAATATATGAAGAAAACAACGTTAGGGTTGTGCAGTGCTGGGGTTATTTACATAAAGATGTGATGATGGTGTTCTTGCAGAGGAACTTTATTCGTTGATGATGGTGATGAATCACAGGCTAGACCCAGCCAGGGTTGCAGGCTTTGGTTTTGTTGTTGTTTTTCGATCTAAAATGTCGCCTACAAGACAGTACTTGTTTTATCTTGGACGTTGTCTTCATTCGTGTCAGACATGTTTAGAGCTTTAAAGAATTAGATAACAAAAACCCAACTGGAATTCGTACCGGATATTGGAGACTGAGATCTTCCATCTCTGGTGGATACAGCCGGTGAAGATGTTCACTGCTTCTGGTATGAATAATTAGCTTACATTTTTAAACTACCTTGTACCTACATGTTGAATCTATGACGTCCCACTTTTACGAACCCTAGCCATTTTTGCATTATTAGTTGTATTGTTTTTTCATATTTATAAAAAAGATTTATAATATTTAATAAATTAAATATTATTTAAAATTATATAATATATTTATATTATTTTTTAAAGAATGAATTTTGAGGACACAATATTGATAAGATAATTAATAAAGAATTGCAATCGAATTATTAAATTCAATTAAAATATAAAATTAAGAGATTAAATTGAAAAAATAATATTTTTTACACAAATATTCATTAGTGATTAAATAGCATGTGATTAAGATATAAATAGACTTTTCTTTTTTGGTACCAAGATAAGACTAACAACGTGGGAGTAAACTGCATGCCCCTCTTGTTTTTATCCAGCCAATGCTGAATTTCAACAAGAACCACTCGAAGACAACAAAGTCCAGCACTGCCTGATCGACCAAGCCGAGCCAGCGCATCAGCGACCTCATTGCTTCCACGATTTACATGCGAAGTTACCACCCTCCATGGATGCTTCAGAATGTCTCGGATACGGCGAACGATCAACGGGTCATACAAGTTAGCCTGGCCATTGAGAACCTCCACCGCTTCAAAGCTATCAGTTTCAAGTTCGACGTTTCTAGCTCCATTAACCCAAGTTAGAGACAGACCATCCATAATTGCCCAGAGTTCAGCGTGAAGGACGGAACACCGTCCGATATTACGAGTGAAACCCAGAATCCACCTCCATTCACTGTCACGAATGACCCCTCCCCCCCGCTGTAACGTTGGTTCCTGGGGAGACCGCTCCATCCGTGTTGACTTTCAGCACCCCCATATTCGGAGGTTTCCATTGCTTCCTGATCCGGTTTTGGTCCAAGCTACGCCGGGTGGACTGCGGTTGATGGTGAATTGTTCTAGCCCATGCCAAAGTCGACTGAATAATCTCTTGTGTGGACCTTACTTGACCCTGAAAAACGAAACAGTTTTTTTGCTTCCATAACCTCCAGATCATAATCCCAAAACAGTGACGCCAGCGAAACTCCGGCCTGTCCAAAACATAATTGTGAGCTAAATTACATTTAAGCCAGTCAACGAGGGACAAGGAGAAAAAAACATCCCTGTGATGTTCAGGAACCAAAGTCTCCCAGATCGTGCACGCCGTGAAACAGTCCCGAAGCACATGGGTTATTGTTTCTTCCTCTCTACCTCACACTGGGCAGAGATTATCAGAACTTATTCCTCTACGGCTACGCTTGCTGTTAGTCATCAGAAGTTGACGGAGGGCCAGCCAAATAAAGCAACTAACACGGTGAGGGCCATCAAACTCCCAAGTCACGTTCCACACCGAGCTGCGAACATCACAATTAACCTTATGAATCTCAGAGAACGCCGATCGCACGGAGCAGGAGTCGGTCGCTTCCCAACGCCAGGAAGGTTTGTCCTCACCTGCCTCGTCGTAAGGGGGAGGGAAAACAGTGATCAACTGAACAGTATCCTCGTCAAGATGGTGAAGAAGAGAGTGAATATCCCACTCTCCATTAGGTAAGAGATAGTCAAGAGCAACAGCTTGAGGATTAACAATATTATCCAACGCCAGATTCTCACAAAGGGGGCCATAACCGGGAATCCAAGAATCCGTCCAAAACTTCGTTTTGTGACCATCACAGAGAGACCAGCACATATTCTCCCGAACAGGGTTCAGACCCGGCTTAACGATCTCCATACATAAGAGCAACGAGAAGTGGTGATACTCTCAGGCATAGGATCCGAGATTTTATACTTCGAGCGGAGCACTTTCAGCCAAAGGAAATCCGGGTTCATCACAAGATTATATCCCAACTTAAGTAGAAAAGTAGTGTTTTGAGTGCGTAGAGGATGAAACCCCAACCCACCATTGGCATGACCCATGAGGTTTGACAACAAGAATTCCAGTTGACCGGCGCCATTTTTGGATGATCATTCGTACCACCCCAAATGAAGCGGCGGGCTATTTGTTCAATTTTGTCGCACACTCCCCGGGGAATCTCCACAGTTTGCATAAAATAATTGGGTATGACAAGTAGCCTTGGCGAGGGTAACCCTCCCAACTAAGGATAATTTGGAGGCCGTCCACCCATTTAATTTATTACGAATCTTGTCAATGATAAATTAGAAGGTATTTTTAGTCACTCTAGCATGAAAAAACGACATACCCAGATACTTCCTGAGATCTTTGGCAAGCTGGAACCCCATAATATTACAGAGAGAAGCTGATGTAACATCACTCACATTATCAGAGAAAAAGACTGGTCTTATTTGAGCTCACTTTGTGCGCCGAGAATCGACTAAATTGATCAAGAATAGCACACATAAGGTTAACCTGTCTAGGGGTAGCTTGGCATAAGAGCAACAGATCATCGATAAAAAAACAGGTGGGAGAGGGGGGCCTCCCCGAGAGAGAACCATCACTTCCCACAAACCAACATTCATAGCATAATGAATATTATGACCCAGTATCTCCATGCAAAGCACAAACAGATAAGGCGAAAGAGTACAACCCTGGCAGATCCCTCGGATAGGTTTGAATTCCTTAGATAAAGACCCATTCCAGAGGATTTGGATAGTCTAGGACGAGACGACATCCATAATAACCCGTCTAATGAAATCGGGGAACCCCATATCAATCAAACAATCAAAGAGAAACTCTCAGGACACACGGTTGTAAGCCTTTTCCAGATCCACCTTAACATCCATCCACTACACTTTGCCTTTTCTCTTGGTTTTCATGGAGTGGACAACTTCTTAGGCAATAAGGATGTTTTCGGTTATGCTTCGCCCAACGATAAAGGTAGCTTGGTTGTAAGCAATGATATTCGGGAAAACAACTTTAAATCTATTGGCAATAATCTTCAAGACAAGCTTGTAAAGAACAATACACAGACTAATGGGACGGAACTCAGCAAAAGACTTCGAATTATTCACTTTTGGAATAAGGACTAAAAGAGTCTTGTTCATAGCAGCCTCGATGCGATTCCCATTGAAAATCCCTTTAACCCAAACACAGACCTCAGGGCCAACCGAGACCCATTGATTTTGAAAGAACATTGCATGAAGTCTTTCGGCCCCCGGGGACTTGAGCCGACTCATATCAAACAGAGCTTTTTTAATCTCCTCATCAGTAACAGTACTATTAAAAATACCAATATCACCGGTCGAAAGCCTGGGAAAAGCACCTCTTATAGGAAACTGGCCACGGCTCCTAGAGTCATACTTGTACAAGTTTTCAAAAAAAAAAAATAGAAGCTTCAGTCTGGAGAACTTGGTCATTCGTGCACCACTCACCACTACTAATTCTGAGAGATTGAATACGATTAGCATTGCGCCGGTTAAGGGCAAGACTGTGAAAATACTTAGTGTTTCTGTCTACTTCCAAAATCCAAGTACTCCCTGCCTTTTGTTTCCAAAACATTTCTTCGTGATCCAAAACCTCCTCCAACTCGGTTTGGATATCAAGCTCTTTGCATCGTAATTGATCGCTACACTTATCATTCATGATAGGTTGAATGTGGGAGAGTTGGGATTTGAGCCTTCTTTTTTTCTGAATGATATGGCCATAAACTTTTTTGTTCCACTTTTTAAGTGCATCCGAGAGAGCCATAATAGAATTATTGATATTTCCCTCGAAACTCCAGGACTGCTGGACAATTGAGCCTGTAATAAACCGAAAAGGGCGGGGCAGATCATTATTGTAGCAATTGCCCTGAATACGAAAAAGCAAAGGTCTATGATTGGACTTAAGTCTGGGAAGTGATGAACAACAAAGTTTGGAGCAAGAGAATTCTATTCCTCGTTAGCGAGCGTGCTATTCAGACGTTCAAAAACCCCTCCACGGTACTAGGTGAAATGAGGCCCTATGAACCCAAGATCCATTAGATTGTGGTGATTAACAAAATTATGGAACTGAAGGTAGCCAAGACCTCTCCGGGTACCACCAGCTTTATCGTCCCCTGAGAGAATAACATTGAAGTCCGCCGCTAAAATCCACAGAACCTTAGTTATCCTTGGTAAATTCATAAGATCTCTCCACAAAGCAGTTA